CACACAAAAAAGGAGGGGGTGGGGGGTCTCTCAAAAGTCAAGCCAGGCGCGCTTGCGTTTGCCTTTATCACTTAACTTCTGTTGCCATCTAGTGGTGATAAGACTGAAACACAATCTGCATAAACAACACACATAACAACATTACAGTTCTTTGAAGGGGAAGCTACCTGCTTTGTCATTATACTTTAACGACACAAGAGAATCTATTTTTCAACTTGTGACATCTGTGAAAAAAGTCCTGAGAGATGGAGATTTTTCCCTATTAGTGAGGTGTTTTTAATTTCATTCATAGATATCATTAAATGTTTTTCCTCCCCGTGACCTGAGTGGTGAAAATTAAACAAACAGGAAGTGGTTGTTACCTTACAAATATGGGTGCCACCAGTCTAAAAGAAAACAACATGTACAACAAAAGCATTTCAGATCAGAAAACAAACTCTGTGCAGCTTTAACCAAAACAAAAACAAGTCTAGAGTAAAGCCCTTCCAAACAGGAACTCCTATATTGTGAATTAGCATTGAAAGTGAATGAGAAAGTGGAAAAGTGATGCTGTTGTAGCGATTTTAAATTCAAAATAAATGTCGAAAATTAATCAAATTAAATTATGACATTTATGCACTCGTTGAAGGGGCACCACCCACCTTTCTGGTGGGAAAAAGGACGAAACAAAGTTCAATTGAGTAATTAAACGTTGGATCAGTCTTACACAGATTTAAATCAGTCTCTCATCTGAGGCCGGGATTCTTCATTCAGGGACTACTTTCTGAAAGACCACTAAGACGACAACTTAGAATTAAATGGACAATTTATTAACAAGCTATATGATAACAAAACGTCAATAAATGATGATCAAATAATGAGCAAATCAAAGCACCTCTAATGAATAAACGAAGGAATGGTTTAAATTAAACCTAAGACTGGAGGTTAATAATAGTGAGTGAATAAAGGGGAAATTTAACCTACGTTAACGGAGTTACGAGGGTAAATAAAAGGAATTTGGAGAACTAAACTATAATTTATAAGAGTAAGCTACTGAACGGTTGACGGCATCACCCAGTTCTCATCACAGCAGTTTAGAGGATTTAGCCTACTTTGGACGTCGGTTCTCAGCGGCACCCTTGGAATGGATCAGCTGAAGTTCTGTGGCTACCGGACCGGATACTGAAGGTTCGGCGGGGAATTCTTCCGCCGTGTCTGGATCTCAGCTTCAGGACCGTGTCAGCGCCGTTAGATACTTCGGATCTCTGGGCCTCTCGGAACCAGGTGGCAAAGCAGCTTGGCAGATGATGCTGGTCGGCGTTCAGGACTTGCTTGGTTGCAGATTAATTCGCGCCAATAACTTAAGAAAATAATTTCGCTGGCCAGCCGATATTATCTTCAGGAGTCACTTTAGCGAACAAAAATAAAAAGACTTAGACTGAGGTTCTCTTATGCGCGCAGCTTGTTACTGAGGCTCTAAAGGACTTGGGAATGCTTTCATCCAAGTTTAGAATAAAAATCTGAGCTTAAGGCACTTAATAAAGCGCGGGGAAAATTGCGAACGATAGGCGAAGACAAAAGAAAACTAGACGAAGACAAAAACGGAAGAGACAAAAACTGAAGAGAAGACAAAACTGAAGAAAAACTGAAGCCCGAGCAAAGACTCCCGGGCTCTTTTAAACCATCCCGTGTGGGCGTGAGCCAAGAGGAAAGTTACAGCCAATGCTGTAACCCGATGCAGCACATCGACTGGCAGCGAATTTAACTCAACTTGATATTAAAAGCGAGCTAGATCTAATTTACTCACTCACTATGATTAAACTGTTTATAACATCACATACGATCACATTTCACTTCATTGTTTCTTATGAGCAGACGCATTAAAGCATGACATTGCAAACAGTAAACTTTGATCAGCCGTCTTCTTGACACTAACAGAGGATTAATGACTTTTAAAAGTTAGAGAGGGACAGAAACAAATTATCTATTCGAACAGAAACACCATCCAGCATAAGAAACACATACGTAATAATATTTGACAACATTATAACCTTGTCAATCAAGCTTCCCAGATGATTAATATATATTTTTGTGTGAGGTAGATAAAACATAGTATGGATACATTCCGAAACTCTTAACTTGAGTCTAAACGAGTTTCACGTTACTACTTCTAAACTACTAGCCTATCTTGGGAATACCATTTACTAAGCTACGAAGTGTATAACAAAAGGAAAGAAATACACGTGATTAGATTCCTGCCATTTGGCTCTGATCAAACCATATTCAGGCATCACCACTAGGAGGAGCTCTTGGTCCATGGAAAACCTGGAATAAATTTGTGAAGTTAACAGTTTGGCTTGTGGATATGTTACAGAATTGGAAAAAAGACCATTTCATTAAGAATGTGGTGTACAGACAGAAAATCCTGGTGAAGTGTCCATTAAACATGAAGTTAAACCATTTTCAGGCATCCTCTTCCTTCTGCTCTGCAAAGAAAGCCAAGGAATTTATGGCAGGTATCTGGTTTTTCAGATTTGGCGCCAACTGGCCTGTTTTCCCCCCTAGGTCATTGGGTTAATCCTGAAGTGTCAATTCTGATCTTTCCCAACCAGGGTGAGAGACTCCGTGTTTATGGGTCTGTGTGGTTGATAAGCAACTTGTCCTTTTTGGGAAGCGTTAAAGATTCACTATCACCTCCCAAATGGTTGCCTAGGTCGTAAATGGGAACTTGGTGTGCAAACCGTTACTCCCCCATTTCCTGTCCAAACCAGAGGAGCCTGCATTCCTTTGAGGGGTGAATTCAAGGTGGATAGCAGAAAGCAGTTGTCTCATTACATATCCCCCCTTCGTCTCGATGGCAGCTCCAGGAGCCATTGGGACGACGAGATGAGACGACCAGGTGGAAGCAGCAGTTAGTCCAAGGAGGGTGATGCGTCTCGTTCAGAACTATCTACTTCGTTAGATCTATTGTGTGTGTTAAGCCTACTACATCTATGGGTGCGGGGTTACAGGAAGCTGACTACACCTCGAGCATGTGGCTCACCTTGTCTTCCTCTGGCTGTTCAACTTCCTGTTCCGTTTCAGGTTGTCTACGGAGTCGTAACCTAGTTACACAGTGGTCTATTTTGTACTGTAGGGCTTTACCACGTTTGACGTAGATGAAGGTTAACCCGAAGGTCAGGAGGTACCCTAACACTATGGCGGCTGCTAGTAAGGTGTCTGGGGTGGACCAAACATAGACTATTGGTTGCAGCGGGGACTTCTCTTGGGACCTTATGTCTATAAGGACGTCATCTACAGGCGTTAGGTCAATGATCTGAGTACCTGCATACTGGATTTGAGAAATAGTGTTTGGATCTAACTGCAGCGTATGCTTGCTGAAAAACGCTGGCACTTCAATCTCTGTTTCGAATTGCTCAGGGTTGAGGTAAAAGAGGGCAATATCATCTATATGGAGAATGGCATTTGGTGGCACCTCAATCCACATGGTCTGATCCAGTAGAGAAATGCGTGTGGCAGTATCGTGCTGGTCGTAATTTACAATGGCAGTCTTGGTGGGGGTGTTAACTAACCAACGGTGACCCACTCTTTCGGCCTGCGTTACAGTCACTTGTGAGCGGTGTCTTGCTGTAGTAGGGCATTTGGTGTCGGCCACCATGGGCGTAAGGCCGCAGAGGCCATTAGTACTGTCCCACACAAATGGTTTACTGGGGCAGAGGTAGTGTATGTCTTTGGTTCGTGTGCACATACGCAGGTTAGGAGCTAGATATAGGTCAGGATTGCTGTCGTGGTAAGCGACCACTGGTGGGGTCTGAATTTGGAGGTGTGCGTCCTCTTTCCAAAACCCGACATTGACTACATCCTTTAGCCTATAGATGCTTCCTGATGCTATAATTGGCAAGTTAATAAGGAAAGCAATTTCTCGATCTTCGGGATTAACGTAGATCGGCACAGCGCTACCTAGGGTATACGCAAAGTGGGCTTGTAAAGGAGTGGTGGCCTCTCTGGTTGCAGTTGATAGTAAATCCTGAACCAATGAGAGAGGTACCAAGTACGGAGGAATCCGGCCTGCAGCCAAACTGTCTATTGAGGATGATATTTCTTGCAACATGTCTGACATGAGCATATTCAGTAGCATTGTGTGAGCATAGTCGACCTGGACCACCGACAACAAAGAATTTACAGCACGCAGCGTCTTATTCAGGACTTCTGTGTGGGTGTTAACCACCAGAACGGTGCCCTTGACTGTTTGACCAATAGTCTGCAGTTGTGTCTGCTGTCTGTTTATCTGAGCCCTGATGTCTGGAATTTCGGCTTCTAGCTCACCCACATGGCGTTTGACAGCAGCTAAGCTAATGGCATTAACAGAGGAGAGCCCAACACCAAAAAGAGAGCCAACAACCGAGGCTGCGGTAAGCAATGCTCCGATAAAACGCTTGGACCTCCTGTTGGTACCACTTAACTCTGTTTGAGAGACAGTGAATTTCTGAAGTTGCTCTAACATGTAAGTAATGTCCAACTCGGCGTGATTTACGACCTGTCTGCTCCAATGTGTCCCGGCCCAACTGGTCAGTTGAGCTGTTACCGGAACATTTTTCTTGAGGACTTCCTTAGGGTTGAGCCTGACAAACACCTTCTGTGTGTGCAGGCGACAGTCTGTTATCAGGAGTCCAGGCTGATCCCTTAACACAATTCCAGAGTCCGGTCCTGGCTCTATGATCTCAGGGCTAGCTGGAGCAGCTACCAAGCCGAGAATCAGGAGCGCTATCAGCCAAATCATCCTGAGGAAGAGGGTGGACATAGTTAGGATGAGTTGGTAGAGGACAATCTAGAATTCAAATGTTCCCTGTCACTTTATTTTCTCCTCCCCCTTTGTAACCCAAAGTGTGCCCGAGGGCAACTCAGTGGCAACAATTCAACAATAATACAGACGCACAAATAGGATAAACTTCACGTGGACACAATATCTACGAGGACTAGGGGACCTGACGTCAATCAGGAGAACTTAGGACTGTTCTAGTTTATGACTCAAGGGTGGCGCTGGAGGCCCCGACAAGTCCCATGGGGTTGTGGTGAAGTTTAATCTGGTTGCGGTGGACCCATTTAAGGGTCGGCTCTTTGTTGCCCTTTGCGATCTTAATTTGGTACACAACAGAAGAGAGCTTTTCAGTGATCAGGTACGGGCCTGCCCAGCGGGGCAGGAACTTTCGTGCCAGTCTCCCAGACTTTGGGGCTTTATCTCCAGTGGGCTGGGTGAACAGGTAGTACCATACCTTGTCACCTACTTGGAGTTCCTGTTGGGAGGCTTTTTGGTCATAATAGGACTTACGTCCTTCAGCACTTTTGCTGAGATGCTCTTGGGTGAAGGCAAACATTGCCTTCAGGTGCTGGTGTAAGTCAGTCATATACTGATGGGTCGTGTAGGCCGTTGCTATACTGGCCTCACCTGGCTGATACAGCAGGTGCAGAGGTAGGGTCATCTGTCTGCCCGTCATCAACTCGAAGGGTGAGAACCCGGTTGACCCATGTGGAGTCGCTCTGATGGCCATCAGGACCAAGGGAAGCTTAACATCCCAGTCCTTGTGGTTGGCTAACACATACTTTTTCAGTATGGTTACCACTGTTCGGTTTGCCCGTTCTACCTGTCCAGACGACTGGGGGTGGTGGCTGATGTGAAAGTTGGCTTTAACGCCCAACAGTTGCCACAGTTGTTGCATTACCTCTGAGGTGAAATGTGTCCCTCTGTCAGAGTCGACACGAGTTGGGAGTCCGAACCGCGAGAAGATGTGGTTCATCAAGAGGTATGCTGTGGTTTGAGCCGTATCGTTTGGGGCTGGTAGGCATTCTACCCATTTGGTGAATGCACAGACAACTGTGAGGAAGTATTTGTTTCCTCTTGCTGACTTAGTGAGAGGACCCACCCAATCGATCTGGAGGTCTGACCAAGGAAAGGAGATACCTCTGCGCTGTAGAGGTGCTCGATGGAGTGGGTTTGCCGGTTGAAACTGGCAGCAAACCAGGCACCCTTTTATGTAGTCAGCTACATCTTTCTGCATGTGTGGCCAATAGGCCACCTGTTGGAGAGCATGGAGCGTGGCTTTGTTTCCTCTGTGTCCTGCGCACGGTGTGTCATGGGCGTATGTCAACATCACCCCCCTGTGGCTGCGAGGCACCACGAGGGCAGGCGAAGTGAGTGCATCGGAGACATAAACCAGAAAGCCCTTGACGAGCCGCAGCGAAGAGCGCACGCGGAAAAGATGGCGCAGGCCAGGGATGGAGTCAAGCAAGTCAGGAGGCATGGAGGAGTCAGGAGGCCCTGAAAGGAACTGCGTCATGGCAGCAATGGCTGGGTCCGAAGCTTGGAGCACCAGCAAGTCAGAGTCAGAAAAAGCCGGAGCCACAGTGGCGGAGACCGGGCCCGAGGGAGCCGGTGGAGCTCGAGACTGGGCTCTGGTGACAGCACAAACCAGGGGCACGGGTGGGAGGGGAAAAACAGAGGGCTCAAAGTGCCAGTTTGAGCCAGTTAAGGCCCCCTGCTTGGCCAAGGAGTCAGCCTGGTCATTAAACATCTTGTCTGGACCAGGGATACGAGAGTGCCCCCTGACTTTCTTCCAATAGATCTGGAGATCATGGTTAGAGGTCAAGAAGTCGCACGCCAGGAACAGATCTTTGTGTTTGACCGGCTTTCTGTTCGAGGTCAAGAAACCGTTGCGTTTCCACAAAGGCAGATGACATGAGAAGCTGAGTCGCGCATAGTTGGAATCTGTACAAATCGTTAAGGCGTGGATTTTGTGTTCCACCGCAAGTTGCAAAACAATCAGAATGCCTGCCACTTCAGCATACTGGGACGTTTGGGCCCCTAGGTTGAAGCTGAGTGGTTCACACGGTTCATCGTTGACCCAGACAACACCCACGCCTGCTCTAAGAACAGTGTCGTGATGGTATGAACAACCATCAACGTAAGCTGTAATCATGTCTTTGCAGACATTGTCGTCGAAGTACCGGTGGCAAGATAATTCAGGTGGCTCGGGGTCGCAGGTTGGGGACCCTGTGTCCGCGCTGTCTGTCAAGCAGCTTTGGCACGCTGCGAGTTCCATCCCGAGAGGTGTTTTGCGATTTTGGGCGTAGTGGACCTCGATGTCAAAGCTCTGAAGAGCCATAAGCCAAGATGCTACACGAGCGTTGGTTACAACGCCGTCTCTGATTCTTTGGCTGTTAAGGAAGGTCACTGGTTGATGATTGGTTTCCACAATCACCTTTTGGCCTCCAAGATAATTCGAAAAATGCTTCACAGCCCACACAGTGGCGAGAAGCGCCTTTTCGCAGTCGGAGAACTTTAGTTCGGGAGCCAACAAGGTTTTGCTAGCATACGCGACAACTCGTTTATCCGAGTCATGGATCTGGTATAATCCTGCACTAAGGCAGTGACAAGAGAAACCGACCTCCAGATAGAATGGTCTGTTGCAGTCTGGGTAGGCAAGACAAGGAGCTGCACAGAGTTTGTCTTTTAAAGCTTGCATGGCGTGTTGTTGGGACGGTCCCCAAATGAATGGGACGTCCTTTTTCAGTAAGTTGGTGAGGGATTTTGCTAAGTCTGCATAGTCCTCAATGAACTGTCGGGAGTAGTTGCATACTCCCAAAAAGCTGCGAAGCTCTGAGACGTTCGTGGGAGCTTTAAGGTTTGACAGGCCTTGAATTCGACTCAGCTGTGGTTCGACACCTGTTGGACCAACCAGCAAACCGACATAGTTCACCTTGGTCCTGCACCACTGACATTTCGACAGAGATATCTTTGCCCCGGCGTTCGTGAGCTGGTTCAGGACATGGTCAATCTCAGCGAGATGCATGTCCAAGGTTTGGTTCCTCATTAAGATGTCATCGACATATATGAGGGTGCCTCTCTCACTAGCATCTGGGCAGGCTTTGTTCAGAAAGATGTTGAACTCTGCTGGCGAGTTGGCATAGCCGAAAGGGCATCGGGTGAAGGTGTACTGCCTGTTGGCAAAAGTGAACGCCAGTTTGTGCTGGTCAGCTTCCTGTACTGGTATCGTCCAGAACCCTGATGCCACGTCAAGAGTGGAGAAGTATCTCGCGTCAGTGATCTTTGGCAGATCCTGTTGGAGCTGAGCCATAGGCCACCTGGAAAGGGGAACTTGTTGGTTCAGCTTTCGGTAATCGATGGTCAGTCGCCATTTACCGTTTGGTTTCAGTACCGGCCAGAGTGGGGCTGAGTAGGTACTGTTACATGGCCGAATGATCCCTTTCGCCAAAAGATCGTCTATGATTTCCTGAATAGGTTCATAGGACGCTAAGGGAATTTTGTACTGGCGTACAAAAGTTGGTGGTGCATCCGGTGGTGTCGGAATGCGGATAGAGTGGATAGAGGTTAAGCCACAGTCAAGCGAGTCTTTTGCGAAAGAGGCTCGATATCTGTGCAGAAGTTTGCGAAGCTTTTCACGCTCCTCTTCGCCGTTCAGGGCGTCTGCCTCAGCTACGAGCTGTTCGACTTTGGCATCAAAGTCTGGATCGTGCTCAGGTGTTTGCCCGGTTGGGAAGATAGAGGGTTCTACCCCGGAAAGTGTATGGGCCGATTCTGGCTCCGAACTGACGCTTAGGACTTGCACTGTGTGCAGGATCATCTGTGAGTCCTCAGAGAGGTCGACCTGACAGATGGTGTCGTGGTCCAGCGGTACAGTTGGGAAGAGCGAGATAGCCCTGGAAGGTAGGGTATGAAAGACCTGTTCCGGCGAATGGTCTGACATCAGAGAACGGGGCATTTTTCCTATTACAGGAATCCTCAATTCAAAGTCGTGGAACGACGTGCTGATCAACCAACCCAGCGGGGTGGATTTAGGGATCAGGATATCTTCGGGTGTCGTGTTTTGTACAAGCAAGTGTGTGAATCTCGAGTGAAGCTCAAGAAGAGGAGTTGCCTGAGTAGACAGCCCTAGTTTAAGAAAGAGCAACGACGGCTGGAAGAAAGCTTGAGTGTGCGACAGCTTTTGTCCACGTTGTAGGTTCAAGCGAATGGGAACGTTTGTGGTCATTGCAGGTATGACAATGTCAAGTTCATTGGCTACCTGACAGGCTTCAGGGATCGACTGTCCTGATATGATGTTGTCGACATCAGGGGTCAGGGTTTCCTCATTAACACTGGTAAGGGACCACAGTATGTTGTTAATGGTATCGACCTGGACTGCCAACCTGACCAGTATATCACTTCCCATGTAGACCTGATATGGTAGGTCTGGGATGACCAAGAAGTGGTGAGTCATCTCCCTTTTGTTCCATCGCACAGTTAAGGCACAGACGCCTTCAGCAGTCATGGTAGCTTTAGGAAGGGAGTCCAAGGGGAAGCGAAATGCTTTCCGAACACACTGGAGGTTCGGGTCATCCCTAGACAAGGCGTCGTACAGTTCACGGCTGATGGCTGATCTGTCAGCCCAAAGAGCCAAAATCACATCGTTGACGTGATTCTCATTCAAGTTGATGCCTTCAGTGATCAATGGCCCGGGTGTGTCGGGTCCATTGGTGTCATCGAATTTGCACAAAAATGTGTCCCTTTTTATGACTGAGTCATCGAAAGGCCACGAGCAGGGTTGTGGCTCGTCGTCAGTCAAGTAGGGTTGTTCCGGTGAGCTTACACTTGTCGGTGTGCTTGTAGCAAGTTCACGCGTCAAGGCGTAACACTGAGCCCGATTCTTGTCGGTTGCTGGTATGGGTAATGGTCTGCGGACCTGTGCCCATATTTTCAGCTGTCGATAGTCGATCAGGGGCTCAAACCGTTTTAAAAGGTCTTGACCGATGAGGAAAGGAATCGACTCAAGGGGCGACACATACACGGGGTGCATGATTTTCATTGGTCCAATGGAGATGTTCAACATCGTCATTGTATTTAAAGTCGTACTGTCTGTAGAGTACGGCCGAATCTCCATGGCGCAGGGCTGCAGCTTGATGTCCCTGTTGGACTGCTGCACCATATTGCGCAAGCGATTAAAGAGCGTGGAGGACATCAGAGTGATGTCAGCAGCAGTGTCCAGGAGTGCTTCGTGTTGAAGTTCATTTTCAAGGACGGTATTAACGTAAAACTTCTGTGCGATGCCTTTCTCAGTGAGGTTGCACAAGAATTGGAGGAAAGGTGGTTCAAGCCGAATAAGTGAGGAGTCTTCTTCGGCTGGCTCCTCTGCGGAGTTCGCCTGTACTACCAAGACGGCGCTGGTAGATGTCGTTTCTTGTGATGTGTTGTCCTGAGGTTCAAGATCGGCAGGAGTGTCAGCTGGTGAGGGTGTCACCGACTCCTGTAAGGACATACACACGTCCTCCTGAAATTCAGTTTGCTGGACAGGCATCATGTTTGGCTCAGAAGTGTCATCCTGGACGGCGGCGACAGCGACAGAGAAGAGATCTGCTTTCTTATCTCCTTTTCTCTGTATTCTACGGATTATTTGTCTAAGGAGTTTACGTTCTTCCTCTGTCAGATCAGAGGACTTTGATTCACCCTTAGCTCCGCCTTTAGATCCACTACCCTTCTGGGGAGGGTCTGATTTGGCCTTTGTACCCATCTCTTCGTCAGAAAATGCTGATTGAGACTGCGGGTAAGGTCGCTCTGAGTTTCGTTCTCGGCGTGGGCCATAACGATCTGACCGGTCTCTCCACCCCCTGTTATCAGGTCGGTAGGGCCGATGGGTGTCATCCCTTCTAGGGTGAGCCCCATCCCTGCGAGAGTACGAGGGTGGACGATCTTCGTCAAATCTGACCTGGTGTTGTTCACTGTCAGACCGAGGCTGCTTCAGGTTTTGACCTTTATCAGCTGGCTGATATCGGGAAGTTTTCAGATTCTGGGTTGGTCGGGCTGTTGCAGTTTGAGGTGCATCTGAATGCGCACCCACGGCACCACCCTCCAGATCTAGGGGCATGGACCTTGTGTCCACAGCCAAGACAGTACCAGGTTCGGCTTTCTTGGATTGGGTGTGTCGCTGTTTAGCGAAGCCTTTTACAGCCAGTTCGCGGAGCTGTCTGCTGTTTAAGGTTCGGGGACAAGCAGCAACACCAAGATGATGACTCGTGGTCGGATGGAGGTTTTGAACAAACAAGGTCTTAAAGTTTAGATCTTCCTCCATTTCAGGTTCATTTTGACAACCAAAGTAAGCCTGGCGAAGGCGACCGTAGTACAACTGGGGAGATTCCTGTCTCTCCTGTTTGACTAACAGTGCAGCAGCTAAACCAGTGGGTGTAAGGGAGTCAGAAAACTCGTCAATTAATGCCTGACACAGCAGGTCATAGTCATTCTTGACCCGACGCGGTTGTCGTTCAATGAAGCTGCTAACCTCTCGATTGGAGGTAGCTTTGATCAAGTAGATTTTGTCATCCACAAGAGCACCTGGAAACTTCCTCAAGTAGAAGTCGATGTCTTTCAAGTAGGTGCTTGGGTCTTCTGAACCTTTTCGACCGGGTTCAAATCGTGTGATGTTACGAGCCATCTTGTCCAGATCCCTGTCTATGGGATATGCCGCTTGACGAGCAGCAGGCGTGGACTGAGGTTGGTAACTCAGGGAACGATACCCGGAAGGTATTGGTTGGGGAAGGGGCGACAAAGTATGACCCGAGTTCCGTCCGGTGTCATCCGGACTTGATCGACCTGAATGTCCTCTGGGGACACGACTCGGTCGGAAGGTAGGGAATGGAAGCGTCTGTTGACTGCTTGGCGAGCTTCGCCCGCTCTGATCTTGCTGTGGTTGACCCAGACTAAATTTCCTCTGAGTCTCGAGGAGCATTTGCTTTAGATTAGCAGAATGTCTCTCTTCTGCTTCGAGGGCCACCCTTTTACTTTCAAACTGGGCCTTCCAGTCCCTTACATCAGTTGAGGACTGATCTAGGTTGCTTTTCATTCTTGACAACTCCTGTAATTGTTCATGAATGGTGGACCTAGCGTCCGAAAGCTGAGCTTCCTTTTCCTCAATGGTGTCATGCAACTCTGAGATTTGGGTTACTAAGGAAGGGTTTTGATCATGTTGGGATGGAGGCTCTGCTTGCATCTCATCCAAACTGTCTCGAGCTTGCTGTAGAGCCCTTTCAGTGCCTCCCAGCTCCTTTTTGAGATCATCAATTTCCTTCATTTGTGCCCGTATCTGTTCTTGGGCCCTTCCCATGGCTTCGTCTTGTCTCTTAATTTGGACAGACATCACACAAGCCAAGCGTGCTAAAGCTTTGGGGATCTCTTTCTCTTTAGGTGGGTGTTCTGTGACCCAATCGATCACCTCATTCACCACAGTTTGAAGCCCATTGTTATCAGTGCGGTTCGCTTCGTCTACATAGCCTGGGAGCAGCGGCTGAGTCAGAGTTGTCAGCGCATGCTTTAGCTCCTCACTAAATAGTTGCCAACTTGCCTCCTTACGTTCTGCCATGTTACTTCAAGTTTAGTAAGGTTGGTAGGTTAATGAGTTTAACAAAAATAGCCGTGCCTATAAAGCAAATTGAGAAAAGCTGTGAATTTAGGACCAGAAGATAAGCGCTTTAAGCAAAGTCTGGTTCACGCTAAAATAGCTGGATGTTTATTTCCGGAATGAAACAAACAAAGGAAGCTAAAACAGAATTTGGATTTTCTGAAAAAGAATTACGTACAAAAATCAAACCTAATCACAGCCAAATCTCATAGTCCAAACCGGATTTGGTCAAATAAACTTTACAGAAAGGAGTACAGGGAAACCTTAAAAGTAAATAGCGGATTGTCAGCTAAGCGTGGAAGGAAGGTAAAAGCTGAAAGTAATCAGGATCAACAATGCAGTTGTAGATGCAATTAAATCTTTCAAGTCTTCACCAGATAATCAAAGTAAAATTGTCCAAATTCAATTGACCTAAAGGGATAAAACAAAAATTCTGATCGTAGGTTGATTAGGGAATTATTGAATTAATTGATTAATGTTACATTAATGAATTAATTAACTATTGCCCTAAGTCTGTGATCACATTTAAGTGTTTTATAAAGGGTCACAGAAAGATGGAGGCAATGAACAATGATTACAGGATGACAAAGATTTGATTCAGCTATTCTCCTTGATAAGGCAGGTGATCTATCTGTATAAAGTAAAAATAAAAGTTGTTTATCAAGTAAATCAACGTTTTATTTGTAGTACAGAAACTAAAGACTCAATCAACCAACTCAATCTGACTATGTCTGCATGGCATCTGTTTGACAACAGGGAGGCGTGGCAGTCGGCTAGACTGCAGTCTGTTTACAATGAGGTCCAAGCAAAACAAAGGCCACGTGGCTGTGAGCCGGCTTGCAGTGCTTGCCGCTCACCACACGAGGGCGATGTTCTAGGGGGCGGTTCAACCGCTCCGTACGTCGCGACGCAACGTTATGACGTAACTATTGGCTCCACCCCTCGGGGTGGCCTGCCTATTCAACACTGGCCGAGTAGTCTCTCCAATGGACACCAAAGGGTTAACACCTCACTGCGGCTGCGCGCGCAGTGGCAATGGGAAGATTCAACGCTGCGTCTCTAACAGCGGATTGCTTCACCAGACTCCTCTGGGAGTAACAAGAGTTTACACAGACAGATCTTACAACAGCAGACAAAACTGCGGACTTAAATTCACGAAATGCGGCGATTTGTGAAAAAGAATCGTGTCTGAAATCACTCTAACAACCTCTCACTGGGAACAGTGATCTCCCGCGACAGGTAGCTAATCTGCCGGGGAATGAGGGATAAACTGAATCCTTTACAGTTACTAGAACTTCGTAGCAGACTATACAGGGTTCAGGGACTCGGAACCACGGCTCGGAGCTTCGCGAACACCGGGTCCGGCCCAAGGCCTTCTAATACAAGCGTACGGCGACGCTGAAAATCGTGCACTCAAAAATTAACAATCTGGGTACGCGCAGCGGCGGCGCGCAGAGCAGAAAGCGCAGCCTCGCTGCAATCCAAAACAATGATCCACGTGGTCTACGCTCACACACAAAAGTATGCAGCAGCAAAAATCAGCGCTATTACACAGAGCTCAATATCATCAGAACATGAAACAGAAAATACATCAAACGCCCAGTTCAGCAATTTCAAAAAGCATCAGACATACATTAAGCAAGCAATCCAGTAATTTCAGCAAGCATAGCATAGATCTTAAGAAGTCTAAGTTGGGAAATTGGGTTTCTCACTAGTTTGGGAATCTAAAATAATCTTAAAGTTGTCTGTTAGTGCCTTACAGAAGTCGTTTGAATGGCCTCGCACGGCCGCACCAAATACTGTAGCGATTTTAAATTCAAAATAAATGTCGAAAATTAATCAAATTAAATTATGACATTTATGCACTCGTTGAAGGGGCACCACCCACCTTTCTGGTGGGAAAAAGGACGAAACAAAGTTCAATTGAGTAATTAAACGTTGGATCAGTCTTACACAGATTTAAATCAGTCTCTCATCTGAGGCCGGGATTCTTCATTCAGGGACTACTTTCTGAAAGACCACTAAGACGACAACTTAGAATTAAATGGACAATTTATTAACAAGCTATATGATAACAAAACGTCAATAAATGATGATCAAATAATGAGCAAATCAAAGCACCTCTAATGAATAAACGAAGGAATGGTTTAAATTAAACCTAAGACTGGAGGTTAATAATAGTGAGTGAATAAAGGGGAAATTTAACCTACGTTAACGGAGTTACGAGGGTAAATAAAAGGAATTTGGAGAACTAAACTATAATTTATAAGAGTAAGCTACTGAACGGTTGACGGCATCACCCAGTTCTCATCACAGCAGTTTAGAGGATTTAGCCTACTTTGGACGTCGGTTCTCAGCGGCACCCTTGGAATGGATCAGCTGAAGTTCTGTGGCTACCGGACCGGATACTGAAGGTTCGGCGGGGAATTCTTCCGCCGTGTCTGGATCTCAGCTTCAGGACCGTGTCAGCGCCGTTAGATACTTCGGATCTCTGGGCCTCTCGGAACCAGGTGGCAAAGCAGCTTGGCAGATGATGCTGGTCGGCGTTCAGGACTTGCTTGGTTGCAGATTAATTCGCGCCAATAACTTAAGAAAATAATTTCGCTGGCCAGCCGATATTATCTTCAGGAGTCACTTTAGCGAACAAAAATAAAAAGACTTAGACTGAGGTTCTCTTATGCGCGCAGCTTGTTACTGAGGCTCTAAAGGACTTGGGAATGCTTTCATCCAAGTTTAGAATAAAAATCTGAGCTTAAGGCACTTAATAAAGCGCGGGGAAAATTGCGAACGATAGGCGAAGACAAAAGAAAACTAGACGAAGACAAAAACGGAAGAGACAAAAACTGAAGAGAAGACAAAACTGAAGAAAAACTGAAGCCCGAGCAAAGACTCCCGGGCTCTTTTAAACCATCCCGTGTGGGCGTGAGCCAAGAGGAAAGTTACAGCCAATGCTGTAACCCGATGCAGCACATCGACTGGCAGCGAATTTAACTCAACTTGATATTAAAAGCGAGCTAGATCTAATTTACTCACTCACTATGATTAAACTGTTTATAACATCACATACGATCACATTTCACTTCATTGTTTCTTATGAGCAGACGCATTAAAGCATGACATTGCAAACAGTAAACTTTGATCAGCCGTCTTCTTGACACTAACAGAGGATTAATGACTTTTAAAAGTTAGAGAGGGACAGAAACAAATTATCTATTCGAACAGAAACACCATCCAGCATAAGAAACACATACGTAATAATATTTGACAACATTATAACCTTGTCAATCAAGCTTCCCAGATGATTAATATATATTTTTGTGTGAGGTAGATAAAACATAGTATGGATACATTCCGAAACTCTTAACTTGAGTCTAAACGAGTTTCACGTTACTACTTCTAAACTACTAGCCTATCTTGGGAATACCATTTACTAAGCTACGAAGTGTATAACAAAAGGAAAGAAATACACGTGATTAGATTCCTGCCATTTGGCTCTGATCAAACCATATTCAGGCATCACCACTAGGAGGAGCTCTTGGTCCATGGAAAACCTGGAATAAATTTGTGAAGTTAACAGTTTGGCTTGTGGATATGTTACAGAATTGGAAAAAAGACCATTTCATTAAGAATGTGGTGTACAGACAGAAAATCCTGGTGAAGTGTCCATTAAACATGAAGTTAAACCATTTTCAGGCATCCTCTTCCTTCTGCTCTGCAAAGAAAGCCAAGGAATTTATGGCAGGTATCTGGTTTTTCAGATTTGGCGCCAACTGGCCTGTTTTCCCCCCTAGGTCATTGGGTTAATCCTGAAGTGTCAATTCTGATCTTTCCCAACCAGGGTGAGAGACTCCGTGTTTATGGGTCTGTGTGGTTGATAAGCAACTTGTCCTTTTTGGGAAGCGTTAAAGATTCACTATCACCTCCCAAATGGTTGCCTAGGTCGTAAATGGGAACTTGGTGTGCAAACCGTTACTCCCCCATTTCCTGTCCAAACCAGAGGAGCCTGCATTCCTTTGAGGGGTGAATTCAAGGTGGATAGCAGAAAGCAGTTGTCTCATTACACTGTGTTTCCTATTTTTGCAGGATGGGGGCCGACAACAGGGCTGAGCCTCTCCTCCAAACTCTGATCCCACCAGTGGAATTTGGACAGCAGCAGTGCTGATGATGAGAAATATGAGAGAGGAAGACACAATATGCTGTTGTTTCCACACAGTGTCATTGTGACCGGTTTGTCTTCCTGTGCTTGTAAGTACCATGGGTTTAATAAATCCCATTGCCTGAAACTCCTGTTAGCCATCTCAAAATCTAATTCCGTACTTTGACCTTAACCTGATTCTCACCTAAACTTGAAGGGAAATTCTGGCGTAAAATTAATTTAGGGTCAAACACTGAACAATGATCATTTCTTTATCATTTCCTTGAAGTAATAATCACCATATTAATCATTTTGTACTGCAGACGTCGTAGTTCTTCTGCCTTAGCGTCTCAGTCTGATTGCATTTCCATGATGATCATAAATGTTCTTCCTTGAGCTGCGTCACCCCGCTGTAGTCTGTAATGGACTGGCCTGAGGTCTCGCTACAAACAATGGGCTGCTGGAAGAGAGTAGGTGAGTTGTGTTTAGTCTCTTTGCTAAAGAAATTAGGCAAAGTTAAAAAGATGTTTGGTGGCTAGTACTATGGCAGGGACCCTATACGTACTGTTGATGAAGTTAGGTGCTGTTCTGAGCATTATTTGTGGCTATAGAGTGGTGTTTTGGTTGAGGTTTGTTTATGGCTCCTCAGACCGCTGTGTATTGCTGTCATACGGTCGTTACTAAAGTTGGTATAACTAGAGAAGCAAGCGGTCAGCAACATTCATCTCTTGAGGTGGTGTCTAACTTGGTGTTGCGGTGTGTTTGACCCTAAATTAATTTTACGCCGGAATATCCCTTTAAGATGAGAATTGAGTGACTTGTCAGA